ATGAACTCCTAACAACAAAAGCCCTGTCTTGCATGCACACAAACGCTCACAGCCTTCTAAGCAAGTTGGCCGAACTTAGAGAAAACCATACCTCACAACCGCGGGACCTCGTCATGATTACCGAGGCATGGTTAAACCTTGAGATACCCGATTCTGAGATCAATTTACCCGGTATGTCGCTGCTTCGGACCGATAGAACCGGAAGGGGTGGCGGTGTGATTCTTTACTATAATACAAACCACCGATGGGAAGTTATCGATCACCCGGAAATCCGAGATCCTGATTCGCTTTGGTGCCGCCTATGGCTGCGAAACAAGGACACATGTCTACTAGCCGTGATTTATCGCCCACCAAACTCAACGTCGGAAATGGACTCCAAACTGAACCACCCTTTTCAGTTTGCTTTGAACAAGTCTTACACCCACATTCTAATCGCTGGAGACTTTAACGTGCAGGACATAGAAACGCCGGCAACCGACGGTACGCAGTTTAAAGCCTGCTTGCAAGAGCTAATTGCTAGCCACCCTCTGTAAAACCACCTAAACTCTCCCACCAGATTTCGGACTGCTAACAAGCCGTCGATACTGGATCTTGTGCTAACGTAGAACTCATGGTTGACTGGATATTTACAAGCACACCCCTGGGTCGTAGTGATCATGTTACTCTACTCTTTGACTATATATGCTATGCGGAGTATCCTGAAAAGGAGGATGATAAAGTGCATACTGTCACGCACTACAATGTGTTATCTAAGCTTGTTAAGGATACATCTTGGACTTTCTTAACCGAATGCCCTCCAGATGTTGCCTGGGAAACATTTACAAGGACGTTTAGCACACTGGTTGCGTACGCATCGGAACAGAAGTCCTTCCAAGCCAAAAACAAGCATAAGACATTTCTGAGGAGCAGAACACGTAAATGTACGTCCCGGAGGGATTTGGCATGGCGAGATCACCAGGACTGCTTGAATGCCGAAACCTGGACTGCATACGTGACACATCGTAACTTCTGTGTGAAACTGATCCGCGAAGACAAGGTCACTCATCAGCAGAAGTTAATGAAGCGATTCTGCACGAACCGCAAACTTATGTACAGGCCCATTGACGGCCTTCGAAAGGTGAAGCGGGGAGTTCCAGCACTCGTCACGGCTGATGGGTGCACGCGATCAGCAATGGAAGCAGCTGATCTCCTACGGCTTCGTTACTGCCAAACTTTCCAGCGGGTAACGAGCACAAACACTCCTCATTTTGAACACTCCACCATCTGGTTTAGACAACATCACCTTCACTGCGGTAGCTGTGCTGAAGAAGTCGTTATCCTTGCGTATCCACAGTTCTCCCGGAGCCGACAACATCCGACCAAAGGCTCTGCAGACGGTAGCTAGTGATCTAGCAAAAGCACTGGTTGTTTTCTATCAGCGACGTTTAGAAGAGAACCGTATTCCACCAGTATGGAAGCGAGGGGTCATCACTCCTATCCATAATGGTGGTAGCCGCACTGATCCTGCCAACTACCGTCCAATAACACTACTTCCCGTACTATCCAAAGTGATGGAATCAATCATCACAGATGCGCTGATGCAGTAGCTGGAAGGCCACAACTTAATAGCCCCAGAGTAACATGGCTTTCGTCATAAGCGTTCACGTAATCCTAACCTATTAATTGTACGTAATAGCTGGAGTGAAGATGTTGATGATGGAATAGGAGTCGATGTCCTCTACCTAGACTTTTCAAAAGCGTTTGATCGCTTAGACCATCGCATTCTCCTTCAGAAGCTTCGGAACTACGGAACTGGCGACCCAATTCTGAGTTGGATAAGCAATTTTCTACAAGAACGACGGCTAGTGGTAAGAGTCAGAGAATCATTGTCTGAAGCAATCGATGTGGCGTATGAAATACCATAAGGCTCGGTGCTTGGACCTTGTCTATTCTTGGTGTTCATTAACGATTTGGCAAGATCAATTGCTTCCGATTTCCTATTTTTCGCTGATGATATCAAGGTTTGGCGAATGATTAGAGGGCCGGACGACCACGAACGGCTCAAGTGCGATCTTAACACAGTGTCGAACTGGTCAGTTCAAAACGCCCTACCATTCAACGCAGACAAATGTCGCGTTGTACAATTACGCCATAGACATAACTACACCTATATGCTTGGGGCATACGGATTGCATATCAGCTCCCAGGAACGTGACCTTGATGTGATCGTACAGAGCGAACTCAACTGTGCAAAACAGGCTGAGATAGCTGCATAAAGAGGCAACCAGCACGTCGGCATGCTGTGAAGGGCATTCGGGAGGTTTGACCCATCAATCTTCCTAATGATGCATAATTCCTACATGCGCCGGCATGTTGAATACGCTATCCAAGCTTGGCAACCTTGGTTGAAGCGCGACCTAGAAGCGTTAGAGGCACCATAACGAAGAGCAACAAAGAATGTAAAGGGCCTGCGCTATCACTTTTACCACCGAAGACTGAAGTTGCTGGACATTTTCAGCAGACGCTATCGAAGGCTGCGCGGCGATCTCAAATTAGCGGGTCAGATACTGAGTGACCCCAACCACGTATGCCGCCATTTGCTGAAACTTAGCCACAACACGCAGCTCAGGGGTAACTGCTTAAAGTTGAAGGAACAATATAGCCGTCTAGAGTGTCGACGGAATTACTTTTGCCTTCGGGTTTGCAAACCATGGAACGCACTCCCAGACTCAGTAGTATCCTCTCCTACCCTGGATGTTTTCAAAAAACGATTAGATGTTGCTCTCAGCTCCCAACATTTTGTTACCTAAGCTCCTCTGTTGTGGATTACGCCAAGCATGTTTTCAACAGGACTAATGTATCAAAGGGACCTAAGTGAGCGACCATATTTTATTTTCTCACTCCTTACCTCAACTATCACTGCGCCCCAGTGTCTTTCTGAATGTTTACGCGCGATATTTCTTTTTCATTTTACACTGATGTTAATTATCAAAGTATTCATCTCGGCAGAGGTTCGATAGATAACCCAGATATATTTTGATTTCATCATATTCACCGCTACCATCCTGCGGGACGTGTCAAGTACTTGCTTTTATCTCGTGATGAATCATTGTTCATTGTTCAACTATAACCTGTTTCATATTTTGCTATAAAGCACGGAAAATAATTACTATGTTTAATTACTTCCGCACATTCAAGTAAAAGAAACACCTATTTTTGAGCAACTTTTTATTAAAGCAAGTGATGATGTACGTTAATAAGACGATTGATACTGCTTATTTCTAACAATTTCTGGTACATTTGGTGCGGTTTTCGCTAATCTACATGCTAAGTTGTGCTGCAAGTGCATTCGGTTTCTTGTTCTAGTGTGTGATCCATGACCAAACGTTAACTGATGTAAGTGGCTTCTCCTCTGTCTCGAACATACCTTCCCAGTCCTTTCTGGATTACCCCCACTCTGTATCCATGCGTCATAAACACTTATCGCTTGTTTTGTCCCTTCTACCTTGTCAACATTCATTCGCTCCTTTACCTGGTCGGCTGATTTATACTCCCAACTTAGTGTTCACTCAACTCTGTAAATCGACACGGGAAACGGCTGGCTGGCTCACAAGAACAACGATCGACGAGCAAACCGGTAGAAGCGCCATCTAGCTGTGTTGCTTTGTAGACTTCTTGTCGTGTTTTAGGCAATAAAAGGTAGCACTGAAGCCCGTCTAATTCACTGACCACTCACTAATGCCCAGTCAATGAAGGCTACTAAACAGTGATTGGGTAGTTAGTTGCATGTGTTAATACGGATGATTTTGTTATTAATTTTGTTTGGTGATGACTCAATCCTACTACTTATATTTACCCCCACCCTTTGGGGTAACTACCCCCAGGTTGAGAACCACTTCCTTAGACGCTTATGAAAGATCGCTTGCTACTCGTCTGATTTTGGTTGATGGCTACAATTGTTTCATCCCGTTTGACGTTTCTTCCACTTCCATGAACCCTCAGCCTAATTGGTATCCCCGTTCTGCACCGGCAAATCAGAGTTCTCATGTTCTGATAGAAAACGAGAATGACAACCCCAAATGAAGATCATCCCATAGGTACCCACTGCATCCTTGCATAACCCCTACCCCTGACAGTCTTGCATGAGTGAGCATGTTACACATGTAAATACAGTCCGTTTTTTGTGGGCACGGTTTCTCGGTCGCAAAAGAAATATACATTAATATTTGGAATCCTGCATCAGCTTCTCCTTCATATTGGTTAGTAAGAGATTGGGCGATATGACATTGGCTGCATTTCCTAATTAATTGATCTATATGAAATCCGAACTCGCGAGCTTGCCACCATTATGATACTGATTGCCAAACAGTGTACAATGGGCGCAGTTGGGTTATTACAGCTGGGATCAGAGTAGCTGTACTACACACATGCCTCCAAAGTCGGCTGCTTACCATTTATGATGCACCTAGTCTATAGGATTCGTCAACCGATAGGCCAAGCCCATGTGAAGGGAATCTGTTGGAGGCAGTGAGGATGAAATGTTAGATCACTCATTTAACCAACCATCTTGACCGATATCACACTTGATATCAGGTAAAAAAAACTCGCTTTCTGATGAACGCCACACTAACTTGAGACGCAACGCCTATTTGTACTGAGCGCTTTGATGTAATCAGGAACTCGTTTAGGACCATATCCGTTTTCACATAAAAGTCGGATATCTACGTAACCAGATAATTATGACTTGGAAGCTTAGTTTCTTAACCTTAAGAACAGTATGTTGATATATCGAATTTCAGCTGATATTCTTTTGTTATTCGTATGTTAAGTCTTACGGAATCTGTTCCTCATCTGCCAAATCGGATTATGCAAAATATAGGGTGTCCAAGTTCGATCACCGGCGGTTGCTATACAAAAGTTTATTTGAGCTGTAGTACGGTGCAGTCAAAAGTTTTCAAATCCGGAAATCTTAATGAGTCAATGTACACGTCGGCTTTAAACATACCTTTGTTCTTAAAAGTTTAAAAACACCGATGACTAACAATCGATGGACCAGACTCTTCGTACTCCCTCCGTGTCACCCACATTTCATTAAAGCTCGAGAGAGATGCCAGAACAGCCCCGCCAATCCAAACAGAGTACTTCCTTTCCGGGGTGGATAAAATGTTCACCTTCACCGTTTTTGGTGCCATCGCAGATAATTCTTTCTTCATTCTCTCTGGAAATCCCTCGAACATAGTCCCACCACCAGTTAAAATGATACTTTCGAAGAAGCTTTTGCGCAAATCAACATCGCATTTAGTGATGGATTCATAGGTGGTTTGATGAATGCCAGAAAGCTCGTAGCCATCCAAATTCGGGTTGAAGAGCAGCTCCGGCGCACAAAATCTTTCACTTCCAACTTGAAGCTTTTGGCCGTCGGGCAGTCGGTAATTCATGCCGTGGGATCCTTTCCCCGCGAACAGCTGAAGCTCTCGCTGGAACTCCAAGGCAACATAGCAAATCTTCTCTTTGGCATCACGGACGACCTCATGTTCATACGCGGTAGTAAAGTTGTTACCCCTCTCGACCAGCAATTTTCTCAGATAATTCGTAACATCTCTACCCGCCAGGTTGTGTCGAATTATTGCGTTGTGAATGATATAAGCGTCAAACACTGGCACCCAATGCGTAACGCCTTCACCACACTCCAAAACTAAACCAGTCGTGCGACCTGAAGCATAAAGAGCCAGTACGGCTGGCATGGACACATACATTGCTGGCGCACGGAAACGCTCAAACGTAAGTTCAGCCAATTTCTCTCGGTTCGTTCGCGGGTTCAGTGGTGCCTCGGTTAATAAGATGGGATGATCTTCAGGTAACACACGTAATTCATTTGTAAACACATGGTTCCATATAGTTTCCAAGTCATCCCAGTTATGTACGACTCCATTAACAATGGGGTATGAAAGAGCTAAGGCACCTCTTTTCCTACCAGCTCCACTCCTGGCGAAAAACCCTCCATTGCGAATAGAAGTTCGTAATTTCACCTGTTTCGGTCTACCTAAAATCATGGGAACCACTGCTCTAGGTGTTACTTCACCGGCATATCCAGCTTTGAGTAGTCCGGTTCCATTGTCAAGCACAATTGCAGGGTTATTCGGTCCAAACATGGATCACCGCTGTTGAGGGACTCGGTGCACTCTTTATGACTGCCATATACTACCAGTCAAATGATCCTCGTTACTACTGCTAATGCAGACAATAACATTCACACCAATCCTGAACTGGCAATTCGGGAGTCATTTGGTGTTCATTGGCAAGCATGGTAAGCCTCGTAGTTGGCAGTCGCTTCTGAGCGTGGAATAGGGTGGGTAGGGAGTACCCTTACGCTATAGTCACCAGCACAGACGCTGGACACGTGTGCAACCACGGCACATATTGATCTCGGCTCAAGAATGCGACCCGAAAGGGCCGAGGTTGGAAAGGGGACACATGATTTTGTGTGCAGTTCCGATACCAGTTGACAGCTGCTCAATAACTTCAGTGACCAGCGAGCCGTGTTTGTAAGCTCAATTTGCGCTCATACAAACTTCAGTTAGAGCCAATCAATTCATTGTCTATTCTCCTAGTTCACAGATACTGGCCAATAAATTTTTGGAAAACGTCACAAAAAGTCTCATGGATGTTTATAAATTTCCATGTGCTGAACACGAAGGTGGCAGTCGAAATTTTAGCTGGGTTCTAGTTATTTTGCGATCCGTATTAATTCTTTACAACACGCAAAATAGAACTTAGAAATGCAAAAAGTGCAGGGATTGGGAAAAACAACATCGAAACCTTCCACTTCGGTCGGATACGGTCCCAAACAGAGACTGACTTCAAAGTCACCCGAAGCCACAACTGAGATAAACAAAAAGAAGAATACTAATGTGTCAGCTGTACACTTTAACGACGCTTCGCCGCCGCGGGACCACCAACAGTCGAGTGCGGGCTGAGTATGCGGCGAGGACGCCCACCCGTAAGCGGATTCGAACCGGTGACTTTATGATTGAAAACCAGGCATGCGGATCACAGCCACCGGCGATATACAATGATTTACCACGGGATAAAAGCAAGGGCTTGACACGCCCCGTAGGATGGTTGGGGTGAATATCATGAAATCAAAATATATCTGAGTCGCCTATCCAGCGTATACGGAGACAGATGACTAGGTAAATAACGTCCGTGTAAAATAAAAATCAAGTGTAAGCTAGCAGAAATACACGCGTGTAGTAGTCGTTGATGTAAGGTTTGAGAAAAGTAAACTATGGTCTCGCACTTATGCGCCGCCTTCTTGGCTCCATGTGACATATAAATCCTGTAGAAAGGCATGATAAGCATAATCCAAAATGGAGTAGTTTAGATAACATAGTGAACAATGAACAATGATTTATCACGGGATAAAAGCAAGTGATTGACACGTCCCGTAGGATGGTGACGGTGAAAAGGATGAAATCAAGATATATCTGAGTCATCTACCCAACGTCTGCCGAGATGAATACTTTGATAATTAACATCAGTGTAACATTAAAAAATTCTCGAGCGGAAACGTTCAGCAAGAGACAGGGGTGTATTGATCGTTGGTGTAAGGTATGAGAAAAGTAAAACATGGTCGCTAACTTAGGTCCATTTGATACATAAATCCTGTTGAAAAGCATGCTTGACGTAATCCACAATAGAGGAATTTAGGTAACAAAACATTGCAAGCTAAGAGCAGCATCTACTCGTTTTTTGAAAATGTCCATGGTAGGAGAGGATACAAATGTGCCCGGGAGTGGGTTCCAGGGTTGGCAAACCCGAGGGGAAAAGTAATTCCGTCGGCACTCTAGAAGGCTATATTGTTCCTTCAATTTCAAACAGTTACCCCTGAGCTGCGTGTTGTGGCTAAGTCTCAGCAAATGGCGGCATTCGTGGTTGGGGTTACTCAGCATCTGATACGCTAATGTGAGATCGCCGCGCAGCCTTCGATAGCGTCGGCTGAAAATGCTCAGCAACTTCAGCCTTCGGTGGCAACAGTGATAGCAGAGGCCCTTTACATTCTTTGTTGCTCTTCGTTGTGGTGCCTCTAACGTTTCTAGGTCGCGCTTCAACCAAGGTTGCCAAGCTTGGATGGCGTATTCAAAATGTGGGCGCACGTAGGAATTGTGCATCATTGGAAGATTGATGGGTCAAATCTCCTGAGTGCTCTTCACAGCATGCTGACATACTTGTTGTCTCTTTTCGCAGTTAGCTCAGCCTATTTTGAACAGTTGAGGTCACTGTTTATGAGCGCATATTGGGCACGTTTCTGGGAGCTAAATCTGTTATCCGTGTGCCCCAAGGAATTACGTGTCGTTAGGTCTATGGCGTAATTTCACCGTGTAACATTTGTCTACGTTGAATGGTAGGGCGTTTTGAACAGACTAGTTCGACATTCTGTCAAGATCGCACTTGAACCGTTGGTGGTCGTCCGGTCCTCTGATCCTTCGCCATATCTTGATATCATCGGGGAAAAATAGGAAATCGGAAGCAATTGATCCCGCCAAGTCATTAATGAATACCAAGAATAGACGAGGCCCACGCACGTAGCCTTTTGGTACACCACACTTTACATTAATGGCGTCGGACAGAAATTCCCGGACTTTCACCTCCAACCGACGTTCATATAGAAAATTGCTTATCAAACTCAGAATCTGGTCGCCAATTCCGTAGGTCTGATGCTTGCGTTGGAATATTCGATGGTCTAAGCGCAAACGCTTTTGTGAAGTCCAATAGATGACATCGACTGATGCTAGGATTCGCTCTATCCACATGCCACGCGGAGTCTCTTACTGTCATGTTTTCGGGTTCTATTCCGAATGAATGATTTTGCCCTTGCAGAACAAATGGGCGTGTTGACCGATGCAGATTTAATCGGATCAATGGACTTGCCAGTAAAATCCAACAAAGCACTGTCAAAGGAACATTCGTCCGGAAACGACCAGCTGGCATTTCCCACTAGTTCTACCAGTATATCGTAGTGGGTGGTCGTCCGCAACAAGGTAGTATACTCTTGTGAATACTCCGCATGAGACACGCAGTCGTAACTTATGGTTACGTAGTCATTTTGTCCCAGAGGGCTCTCCAGCCTTGGTTTCTCAACCATGAGCTCTTCGTTCATGAGTACTAAACCAAGCTCAGATGGTTTGTTTTCCGGCTCTGAATCGGGTGGGTGAACTGACATAGTTGAAGAGCGGAATGCTTGCAATATACTCTTGCAGGTCGGGTTTAAACAGCTCGTATGGGGATACCGGAACTTCCAAATCATGAAGATTGAAGTCACCTGAGATGAAAACATGACTGGATAATCCTCGTGGGACTCTTCCCCAGGATAATGCCAGGCGGGAACTTATTTCTGTGGTGGACATTGGGGGACGAGAAACAAACGCCACAGGGCAAATATAGTTGCGTCTCAGTCGCAGACTGCACCAGTGTGAATCTATGTGCAGCGTTTCCGGATCGGCCACCGGTTCGCACTGCAGGTCGTTGCGGTAGTATAACATTACCCCCGTCTTTGCTAGGCCGATCGTTTCGGAGAAGCGACATACTATTTTTCACAATTTGGGCATCGGTAATTGCTGAGTGCAAGCAGGTTTCCGTAAGGAGTATGCGGTCCCAGGCATATAACACTTGACGTAGTCGCAGTTAGGCAAGCTTGTCCAGGAGATCTTGTGCATTGGTGTACAAGCAGGAAAGTTTGTTTCTAGCAATGGGTGTTTTGGATAAAATGTTGTGTCGACCGGTAAAAGGTAGGCAAATAATCGTTTTTTGGGTGGGGCGATGATGAACTCATCTGTGTCCGATTCATGGATCCTACGATTACCTCTTTGCTTCTCACTTTGTATGTACTGTATGGGGTGTGTTTACCAGTTTCTTTGGCAAGTGGATTGAAATTATCCGAACTCTTTTCGGTAAGTAGTCTGAATAAGTGGCTGATCTCGTGTGTTTGCTTAGCAGATGCTGCCTCGTTGCGGAGCTCGGAAGGAAGGCTGCTGCGGCCCGCATACCATCCCGCCACTACCATCGCTGACATTTGTCTAGATTGAAAGACCAATTTCACAATCCTCTGGCCCCATTCCTTGTAGCTTGACGACCGGCGCAACATCGAGATTGATTGCGCTATGACTTTTTCAGAGTGACTGTCTCGCGAATGTACCGTCATTGTTTCTGGTCGTGAGTGGTCGCTTTGGGCTCATTATGACTACCAGCCTCGAGAACACCGTGTACAAGGATCGTCCTAGCTACAGATTCCTTCCGGTTTTCATCCAAGTTGTGTTTCGCCTGTTTGCTCTCGCTCTACGGAACATCCGGGAATAGGCGGATGGAACATGACTCATTCCGGAGGCGAGCTGTTGATAACAGGACAGCTTCTGCTTCATTGGCAGAAGTCAGCACAACTCGGAGAATTCTTGGTTCACCGTAGTGCAGTGATTTTGGGTGACGGGTAACGAGTGTCAAATTTAACGGCTTAGTTACAACAACTATGGTGTCGCATATGGAGTTCAACTGTTTCACGGCATCAGTTGTTTTCCTTTTAAGGAACTTGACGTCGACTCTGGAACGTGGGCGCAGATTACCGCTGGTATACTACGTGCAACCCTGCTTGAGGTCAAATGACCAGCTGGTCTGTATACAGTCGATGGAAGTTGTTTGGGTATAGATTCGTCTTCTTCAGTTACTATGGGTCCAATGGTGGTTACCGAATATCTAGGTTTCCGGTCACCTTTGGCAGCAATCAAGTCCCAACCACCGCTGGTGTCAACGCCCTTCTGAATTTTCGGAAGCCTTTCGAGGGTGGACGAGGCTTTGACCGTGTTCATTGCAACCGCACTGGCGGTGGTTGTTTCACGCATATTAGGGGAACTGGTGGTATTGACGTTTAATGCCACAGATGATACATTTTTAGTGCACTGCTTAGCCTTCTTCCTCAGTTTCAATGCAATGCTGGATGGGAATGGCCGCGATTTACTCTCTGTCACGCTTTCTACAAATGAATCGCTTTTGGTGCTCCTAATATTGCTCAAATATTGCCACTAGGTTTTCGTACTTCTGCGATAGTTCATGTACAATCTTTACCAGTGGGAGGACTATACATACTGAACAGAACCACAGT